TAGTAGTATAAAAGCCGCATGTATTTTAGTAGTTAGACAGTGAATAACTCCCCCATTTCTTGGCACATAGCTCTTAGCAGCTTATAAGGACTCCGTTCCTTATCCCGTTCGACGCACACACTCCCTTGGCGTAAGCCTGAGTTGTCCCTCCGTCTTCGGCCTCCGCCACTTCGGCCAGTCGTAGAACTATTCCTAGTCGCGCTGCTCGTACGCCACCCGGTCATACACCCCTTTGCTCGGTCACAGAACTATTCCTAGTCGCGCCGTTCATACGCCACCTTGCCATACGCCACTTTGCTCGGACGGAGAACTATTCCTAGTCGCGCCGTTCATACGCCACTTCGCCATTTGGGGTCGAGTTCGCCAGTTCGCTCAGTAGACCTAAACAGTCTACGCCAAAGATATACCTACCGGCATTTACGCTAGTTAAAGTCATACGCCAGTTTGTTCTCCGGAACTCTCTTAGCCAGAAAACCCAAAGAATTCACATTGTCCCAACCTATTGAGATTGACGGTCGATACGCCTGACCTACCTCCCGAACAAAATACGATAAAGCTTAGTTGGAGTTGATAGTTTTGAGGTTTGGTGTTGGTTTGAGTTAAGACTAAGGTCTCACTCAGTTAGCATTAGATTTCACGGCTGCACTTCACTGCACCGTTTCACCGCGCCTCTGGGGTTAGTTGAGAAATCCCCATCTTCCGGCAAATGCCGCATGGTTCAAAATAATTCGGTTCTCGATGATAATGGGTTTTCCACTAATTCCTGGCTCAATGCAAAGGAGATTTCTATTGGCCGGCACACTTGTTCCATGATGGCGGATATGGTAAGTCCTTTTTCTGTGCATGTCTCGCTTTGCGAGTTTATGGAATGTCGGTCATGTTTGCACCGAATGGTCATGTTTGTACCATATATGTGGGCTGGTCATGGTTGTACCGCCTAGCTATGTCGGCCATGTTTGCGCCGAACGGTCATATTGGTACCGTATGTCTGGGCTGGTCATGTTTGTACCGCCCATTTATGCACGGCCATGTTTGCGCCGTCATGATGTTTCGAGATTTGGTTCTCGATTATGGACGGTTCATGTTCCTGATCTCGCTATGTGTTTGCAGGTCGCGCGGGCTCCTCCCGGGACTCAGGTTGCTGGGCTTGACCAAAAAAATGCATTCCGTTGCTCTGCGGTTGCCCCTCGACACAAGTGGGCTTTACCCATCCTTTGGAGAGATCAAATCTGGCCAGATCATGTTTTCCCGTTTGGTCTGCGCACTTCCGGCAACATTCAAGGCACTATTGCCGATGCTTTTCTCGACATTCTCGCCGCCCGTGGCCATCCAGATAATGCGAAATGGGTTGATGATTATGTCTTCCTACGCTTCCCTTCCTCGTGCGAGACGTTATCAGACGGCTCAATCATTTATTCCTTTTCCTTCTCTCTTGCCGACATCCTCGCAATTTCCGAACCTCTCGGAATTATATGGAATGACCTAGCAGAAAAAGGGCATGATTTCGCAGATGCAACAGAGTATGCAGGGTTCGTTTGGCACCTCCCCAGCAAGCGTGTTTACCTGTCCGAGAAAAAACGGCTCAAATATCGAGCCAAAATCACCCATTTCCTCTCTCTACCCAAGGTGAAACTTCCTGATGTTCAATCGCTCCATGGTACCCTCCAACATACTTGTTTCATCTACCGTGATGGCCGTTCATTCCTTCCCTCCTTGGTTCATCTGATGGCCGGTTTTCGCAACCGGTTCGCCGCTCACTATGTCTCGAGTGCCGTTAAAAATGATCTCTGTTGGTGGCTCGACATTCTCGACATTCCTGCCTTCTCACGTTCCCTCCATCCTCGCGCAAAAATGGATCTTGATGTATGGGTTGATGCTTCAACGGATTGGGGGATTGGTCTCCTTGTCGCAGACAGATGGGCGGCATGGAAACTCCTTCCGGGTTGGAAAGTTGATGGCCGTGACATCGGTTGGCTCGAATCGTTGGCTGTTGAGCTTGCAGCTACTTGGATTGCATCCCGAGGCATCCAGGATGCTGACCTACTGGTCCACTGCGACAACACTTCAGTTATTGATGCTTACAAAAAAGGCCGTTCACGGAATGAATCCCGCAATCATTCGATTCGTCGAATCTCGTCCATATTGATGCCCAACAATTTAACAATCACACCAGTTTATGTCCCGTCTGCTATGAATCTCGCCGACCCCTTTTCTCGCGGCGTCTTGGGGTCCCGAGATAAGCACTTACCCATGCCAGAGCTCTCTGATGAGCTTCGCCCTTTCTTGATTGAATGCACAGGTTAGTTTAATGCCTTCATGTTATGATGTTATGTCTGTCCCCGCTTATGAGGTACTGATAATTTATCAGAATAATATTAGCTAACTCGCCGGTTGGAACCGGCGCGGCACGTTCCGGTGGGGAGGGCCCGGTCCCCCCCTCCCAGTCGCAGCCTGGACGTGGCCACCATGGACCTAGAAAATCGAAAAACCCCAAAAACATGATTGCCCCTTCCCCTTTTCGTCCTAATGTTCTCGCTCGTGATCGTATTTCCGACTGGCGCACACCCTTCTCCTCTTCTTCATTATTTTCGTTGTCCACATGTTTCCCAGCAGATGTGATCCAGAAATGGCGAGATGTTGTCCTTGCTTCCGTAGAATCGGACACTCGGGGTAATTATGGTGCTGGTTTACTACGCTTCAACCAGTTCTGTGACCAGCACAGTGTTCCAGAGGATTCGCGCATGCCTGCCAGTGAGGCTCTCTTGTCATTATTTATTTCCAACTCAGGTGCCGGACAAGTATCCGCAGGCACTGTATCATCCTGGCTATCCGGTTTACAGCTATGGCACCAGGTGAATGGGGCTCCTTGGTATGGCGGAGATATTCTCCTTCGCACAAAGAAGGGTGTGTCCAAGCTAGCACCAGCTTCATCGCGCCGACCTCCTCGTGATCCGGTCTCTTTTAACCACATGCTTGTTCTCCGCGACCACCTTGACCTATCCAACACACTTGATTCTGCCATTTGGGCAGCCGCCACTTCCGTATGGAGAGGTTGTGCTAGGCTCGGGGAAATTTTGATCACCTCCACAACATCATTCACGCCGGCTCGCAACATTACACGAGGATGCGAGATGAAGAGAGGCACAGCTACCAATGGCCATAAATTCCTTCAATACAAACTCCCTTGGACAAAAACCCAACTTGCAGCCGGAGATTGGTTATTCCTGACCGAAACACATGATGCTGTCAATGCCGTAGCTGCGGTGGAACACCACCTAGTTGTCAACGCGAATGTTCCCACTGATGCCCCATTATTCGCCTACGAGACAGCGACAGGATGGGCTCCACTCACACGCGACGCATTTATGACTCAGTGTAATGCCATTTGGGAGAATGCGGGTATGGGTGCTTTGTACGGCCATGGTTTGCGAATTGGTGGGACCACTGATCTTCTGCTCTCGGGGGTTGACCCTTGGATTGTCATGAAGCAGGGTCGCTGGTCATCAAAGGCCTTCCTTCTTTACTGGCGGAACATTGAGGATATACTTCCGTTATTCATTGGAGATGCCATGGACAAATTATGTTCGATGAAAGAGTCTATTTCTCGCCTAGCCAACATGTAAAAATATATATGTATATTTACTCTCTTTGCTTTCGGGGGAGACGTCCTTGAAGACGCCTGTTCGCTCACGTTGCTCACTCAATTATGGGGAAGCGTCCTCTTCCGGAGTCTCACTCACCGAGGAGCAAAGATCACGCGGGCGCGTGTCATTTTTCTCTCTCTCTCTCAGACTGATGTGATATGCAAGCCAACGACTTAGTTAGCTTGCCGTTGAGCGCGTTGGGAGCTTGCGATCAACAGCGCTCAACAAGTGCTGACTAAGCGAGTGTAAAGCTTCATATCTTTGACACTCGCCGTCAGCACTCGTCTTCAGCCCACCCACCACACCCTCTTTAAATTTACTATTGAGTCTTGACTTCAGCAAGGGGAAGCGTCCTCTTCCGGAGTCTCCCTCACCGAGAAGCAAAGATCACGCGGGCGCGTGTCATTTTTCTCTCTCTCTCTCAGACTGATGTGATATGCAAGCCAACGACTTAGTTAGCTTGCCGTTGAGCGCGTTGGGAGCTTGCGATCAACAGCGCTCAACAAGTACTGACTAAGCGAGTGTAAAGCTTCATATCTTTGACACTCGCCGTCAGCACTCGTCTTCAGCCCACCCACCACACCCTCTTTAAATTTACTATTGAGTCTTGACTTCTGCAAGGGGAAGCGTCCTCTTCCGGAGTCTCCCTCACCGAGAAGCAAAGATCACGCGCGCGCGTGTCACCTTTCTCTCTCTCTCCCAGACTGATGTGATATGCAAGCCAACGACTTAGTTAGCTCTCCACCTATCCTTGTCGTGCTGAGACTATTGCTATAGCCAGGGTCGTCTAAGAGGATAGAAAGGCTTGGTAGCGCTCGGAGCGCGTCTGCCCTAAATGCACGGATAAACAATAAATTTATCTAAAGGACCTCGTTCGACTCGAGCCCAAGTCATTGGTTTCTTTTCTTCAATATGGTATTTTTGGTCTCCATCTCGCTTGGCCTATTTCCCACGCACTGGGGTTATTCACACTATCAGGGCCATGCAAGAGGATGGAAGGCTTGGTAGCGCTCGGAGCGCGTCTGCACTCATCAGAGGGAAATAGTCATTCTGCAGCAGGAGCTCGTTCGACTCGAGCCCAAGCCACTCACTTTTTCGCGGGTTTTTTGCCCCCCATCCCTCTGCACCTCTTCTCGTAAACTGCGCACATCCATATAATCACGGCCGGAAGAGAGGACGGAACTGCTTGGTAGCGCTTGAAGACCCCTGCGCTCAATGAAGAATGTCCAAGGACATCCTGCAGAAGAAGCTTATTCGACTCGCGCCCTAGCCACGTCCGTTGTCGCGAAGTGAGATCTTTCTCATTTTCCCGCGCTGAGCTTATCCACACAATCAAGGTCTGAATAAGGAGAGGAAGGCTTGGTAGCGCTCGGAGCGCATCTGCCCTCCATTTGGATTCCAAGAGAAGGATAATTCTGCAGAAGGAGCTCGTTCGACTCGAGCCCAGGCCATGCGTGCTTCAACGATTATTTTTCTTCCCGATCCCGCTTCATCTTTCTCTCGCGCTGCGGTCACCCATACAATGAGGGTCGTGCGAAAGAATGGAAAGGCTTGGTAACGCTTCGCGTCTGCCCACAATTTGGGGTCGGATCCTGAATTCTGCAGAGCAGCTCGTTCGACTCGAGCCCAAGCCATTGTTCGGTTATCCACTGAGATATTTTTCGTCCCCATCTCTCTGCACCTATTTCTCACGCTGAACATATCTATAGACCCAGGGACGGAACAGAGGATTGAAAGGCTTGGTAGCGCTCGGAGCGCATCTGCTCTCAATACGCGAATTCCTAGGGACTCTGCAGACGAAGCTTGTTTGACTCGAGCCCGGGCCATTAGGTGTCGGCCGGCAATTTTTTGGATTCCCACCCGTCTTTCCCCAGTGCTGCATGCGCTACCCATGTAAACGACTCACGAGGCTCCTGTAGTATTTTCCATTTTCTGCTTTCCAGATAAAATGTGTGGTTACAGACACCCGGCACTGCTGTGCTTTTAATTCCCGCCTCAAAAATACCTTACAGCTCATCCATGTCTTATAGGCAGCGTCCTAAGCTTAACACTTTGTAGCGCGTCTGCTGAACTATGGTTGAACCCCACAGCAATTCTATCCCCATCCAGACACACCAGCCAGATACGGCCAAATCCCCTCCTCCCATCCGGCCATGTCCGACATCGGCCCGCGCTCCCTCCGCACCTCCTCGCCCGCCCCGATGCCAGCGAAAACGACCGCGGACCCATTGGCGGCGGCCCGCCGCCGCCGACAATGACTCTGACTCAGAGAGGACGACTACGCGCCGGCGCTCCCCCGGACATGCTCGCTCCCTTCTCCTCCTCTTCCGCGCCACCCACATTGTTCCTCGGCAGCGCGTCCCCCCCCTCCCTTTCCGCCCTCGATCGATTCACTCACTCTATGCATCTCACGCAACTAGACCTCGACCCAACAAATCTCAAAGCGCGGACGTTCGCGCTCAGCACAGACAACACTCTGTGGACTTGCCTTGGATGGAGACGCCCGCGGAGCGGCAGCCGCGCCTCGCGGACGAAGTCTCCAACAGGAAGTGCCCCCCGTCGAGGAGATGGCGCGGCGTCGACGAGCGCACGCGCAAGACACGCGGGTAGACATGCACGCGTGAAGGCCATCTCCCTCCTCTCTTTTCCTTTCACGTCCATCGCATCTCTCCTTCCTCCTTCGTTCCACCGCCGTCCCACTTCCTCCTGCGTCCCTCCTTTTTTGTATTTTTCCTACACCTCTCGCACGTGCTCTTCCCGTCCCCGCGCACGCTCTTCCTGCGCGCGCCCGGAGCGAGTGGACGCAGCATCAGCGGCATGCATGCGCTGTACCGCGGGCGAGTCCTGTTCCGCGCGGTCTCGGGCTTCAGCGCCCGTGTGCTCGCAGCGTGGGGATGCGGCGCGCGTTCTCCCGGTGGCGACGCGGACGCGGGGGTGTTCCTTCCGGTGACGGCGGTCCTGCGCGTGGTGGGTGCAGCGCAGTACGCAGGCGCGGAGCGCGGGGAGGTTGCTATGTGCCGCCGGTCTTGGCTCGCGCGTGTCTTGCGCGCGCTGCGCGGGCGCGGCGAGGGATATGTACGGGCGTGGCGTCGTGCTTGCCGGCGCGCGGATCTGCGCTGGGGATGTGCCCCGGGACCGTGGTGAGCGGGGTGAGCAGGGAGCTCATGGGCGCGTGCGAGCTGGGAGTTGTGGAGGATGCGGGCGGGAGATTGCGATGCGCGGGCGTCCAGCGCGGCGTCGGCGGGCGCGGGGGCTCGATGTGTGCAGCCCCTCCTCTTTTTTATCCTCCCTGCTTTCCCTCCTTTTCCCTGGCATATCCCAGACTTGTCCGACGGGCTTGGCAAAACGGCTTGCCCCGCTTAGCGGAGTTTGAAATTGGCTGTGCGGGCTTGGGCGACTTGGGCTTGGACGGGCTTAGGCTTGTCCTCGGCTACACTACATGTGCTCACTAGGTAATGTGCCCATTGCTACCTTTCAAAACACCATTAGCATTTCCTTCCTCCACCACTCCCTCTGAAACATTCATGCTAACCCCGTCGCCGTGATTGATGGCGACTACAGATGTTGTACTCCCGGGTTCATCTCCTATTTCTCTGGTCTCTGCATCTTCTTATGTAAGTTGATTCTAATTGAGGGTGGTTCATCATTTTTCAACCATCCTCTGGTCTCGACCCGTTGGGCACAAGTCGTTCCAAGCCCTATGGGCCTTGTCTCCGGGAACACCGTCCGAAGATTGGGATTACCTTGTGCATCCCTGTTCATTTTCCCTAGATATTTCTTACTCATATTCTTCTTTTGCAGATGTTGAAAAATATGCGACCAGAGCACAACGGCAGGCGAACTTGGGCTTGTCAGGCTTGTGCCCAAGCCCGGGCTTGAATGCAAGTTTTCTAAGCCTTATTGGTATGTTTTTTCGATCTAGCCTATCTATAATTAAACGGACAGAGCCCACTTCTCCGCAAGGTCAAAGCCAAGCTATGCACAACCCAAGCCCAAGCCCGGAATTTATTTAGTAGGTATGATTACATGTTCATCCCCAGGTGTCCGGCTAGTTCAGCTAACAACATAGCTGATTATAGCCAGCAACAAGTCATTCTTCTCGAGCCCTTATTGTGTTCTTGATCATGCTAAGGGCCTCCCTCACCTCATGCTGCCCTTGCGCAAGTTCCTCCCAAGCCGCACAAGCCCGACACCAGTTGTCTGGGAAGGAAAGATCACAGACAATTGAACGTAAGTGTTGATCAGATATCCGGCCTTCAACCACAACGTTTTGCGAGTCGCGACTGTTGGATTCAGGTGCAGAATTAGCCGACGGGCTTGCCAAAATGGCTGTGCGGGCTTGGATGGCTTGACTTGAGCTCGCTTGCACCAAGCCCCTACACTGTAAGTAGTTCAAGTATATTTATTCTTAGTGTCCACTGCACCATTGTTGTCCACTACCATCATCTCCGTATTAACCATCTGCCTCGGTCCACCAATGTTACCAGCCGAAAGCATGATTTTTTCGGTCATCGATTGTTACGCAACGTACGGACAGATTGTTCCAGGTATTATTGCATCATTGCTACCACCGACCTTTCCGATGGGCTTGGCTAAACCATTCAGCTTGCTCCGCATATCGAAAACCGGGACTTGATGGTTTGCACGGGCTTGGGCTTGTGCTCGCTTACACTAGCTCTCCACACCGTAGTCAAATTATTGATACTTATCCCACTAGGACTCCGTGAAATTCATAACAACTGCGCGCAAGCCCGTTGGCCGGGGAATGACTTGCGCAATCTGACACAAGCCGCTTAACCAAGCCCAAGTCCATGACAAAATATGGCTAAGACTTGCCACCCATACCACCTACAAAGTTCGGCGTCTGTGTCACACATGTTTCGTACAATTGGTGTCGTCACTGACCTTCCTCTTTACATGGGTGCAAGCCAAATATGTCACTCTCCGTTCAAGCCACATTTGATGTTTCAGTCAGCCTGGTCACAGGGCAGGAATCAAAATGTGGGCCGCATATTAAACAGTTGCATTTTTATAATTCTCCTTGACAAGTTCATCGCAAGCCGTGTGTAAGCCCGTTTGCTTGTTGGCGACATGTGACTCAAGGACTTCGGCTTGAATCCAAGCCCGACTCAGGATCACCTCCAAACGATGTTAAATGCGTCCAGAAATCATTTAATAACCTCAGCATGCTCTAAGATAGACTGAGATAGCTATGAGAACCTGTGGGCGCAATGGATCTACTTTGTTTCAAGGTTGTCTGCAACTAAAGGTGGGATAGCCGTCGATTCATTTAGGGGATAATCATAGTATATGGTGCGCTGGAAAATGCTCTAACTGATCGACCGCAAGGCTGTTGGTTCCGTGAGCAATGACGATAACGACCCCAGCACCGGCTGATGTTCAACCCGATCAACAATCGTGACGGCAGGTCTGGGTGCCTCATTGGCTACTCGGAATAGGTTAGGTTGGTTTCTCGAATTTAATTTTGGGTTGGGACACCTATTGAGAGGCGATTTCAGTCTGATTCAACTGCCAACACCTTACACACCGATTCGGTCAGTTTTAGATTTCTCAGACGAAAAACAAACACCGCACCAACCGAGAAATTCGATTTTCCAAGTGCATTCTACCAAGTAAAGATAGATTTAAACCAGAACAGGGAACTGAGTCTGACAACCTCGACTTCCAAAGCAAATTGCAACTGTCTGTCAGGGATCTCGGCCCGGATGTCACACGCATAAAGATGGATTGTTGCCCCAATTTGGTCCCAATAACCAAAATTGTGCCTAAAAATCACAAGTCTAGCAACTTGAGAGTTCATAGGTACACTGTGATCTATTAATTTCAGCCTGTAGTCTCCAGATTATGTCGCAAGCCCGTTCCATATTTCGGCTGCCGCGAGCAAACGGGCTTGGTAAGCCATCAAACGGGCTTGCAAGCCGAAAATGTCGCTCTCTTGCAAAACCGATACCAAAGCACAACACCAAAGACCACAGGCATTACTTCAATTGAAAAATACAACGATCCCTTCAAAAAACGTCTCAACAATCCCCAAGCCCAACACAAGCCCGTTTGTCTGATGCCATCGGACAAACGGGCTTGTGTTCGACTTGTCAGTCAATATCAACAAGATTTTCAAGCCTATGCACTAGAATTCTGTATCAGATCGCTTTGAGTCAACTAAAGCATCGATTTTGAGTGGTAAATTATGCTCCTGACGCTCGTTCTCGGTATGAACATTATCGCGGCCAAGATCAAGCCCAAGCCCGTTTGTCTGATGGCATCAGACAAACGGGCTTGTGTTCAGCTATGGCATTACACAGTCGGGCTTGCGCGTTTGCCAGCTCAAGAATGTATTGCCTACACCCGAGCAGCCTCCAAATCATGTGTGACACCGGCCTTCGCGTATTCCTGCCCAAGGATGACTCAGAAAGAGTTTGGAACTGCAATA